TTTCATTTTTTTTATGGTTTTTGAAACCTAGCATGAATGCTTCGGTGAACTGTGTTGTGAAAGTATTTATTTTTGTATATTTATGTGAGAGAAATTATTTAGTTTTCACTTATAAATAAGACAGGAAACCTTATTTACAGTAACTTTATCTAATGGTCCGTGGATGAGTGCTTTTATGCAAAACAGTCAAGAGGCTAGAATTAACTTTTCACATTGGATGCACATTTGATGTCCACACTTGAGCAACATGTGGCATCTTATTATAAAGACTAACACTCAGGATTCAATTTGTGTTTAACACATTTTCTTCAGAATGCACACATCATCTGTGCCACATTTAATGTTTACTTTGTAATGATTGGTTTCTTGCTTGTAGATACATAAATATAAATGTTTATTTGTTGCTTTTTGTTGTTTTCTTTTTTTCAAGTTTCTTTAGACTTGGTTACTTAGCTATTTTATATTTTACATGAAAAACAAGTCAGTTTTGGTGTGTAACATCTCCTTGGGTTAGGAGATTATTATTACCTGATTATCATTAGCTTACTTTTTATAGAAATGCATAGGTCCTTTGGATAACTGTGCTTATTATACTTCCTTTTTGTTGCTGTTAATTCTTAAAGTTATTCTTGGAAAGGTAATATTAGGTGCACCATTTTGTTTTTAATACTTGTTACTAGCCTGGGCGACATAGCCAGACCTTGTCTCTACAAAAAAATAAAAATTAGCCAGTTGTGTTGTGTGCCTATAGTCCCAGCTATTTAGGAGGCTGAGGTAGATGAGTCTCCTGAGCCCAGGAGATCGAGGCTGTGGTGAGCCATTCTTGTGACACTGCCCTCCAGCCTGGGCAATAGAGTGAGACCCCAATTAAATTTTTAAAAAATACTTTGTTAGCAAATAAATAGCAAATAGCTCATGTATACTTGTGAAATTTATTTTTTTTAATTTAATTTTTTTATTTTTATGTTTTTTTGAGTTGGAGTCTCACTCTGTCACCCAGGCTGGGGTGCAGTGGCACGCTCACGGCCACCGCAGCTTTGACCTGCTGGGCTTAGGCGATCCCTCCACCTCAGCCTTCCAAGTAGCTGGAACTATAGGCATGTGCTACCATGCCCGGCTTATTTTTTTGATTTATTGTAGAAACAAGGTCTCACCAAATTGCCCGGCTGGTCTCGAACCCCTGGGCTCAGGCAATCTTCTCCTCAGCCTCTCAAAGTACTGGGATTACAGGCTGAGCCACCGTGCCCAGTCTGCTTGTGAAATTTAAGACAACTTATTAGTAGACATGAAATACTGAATTTTTTAAACGAGGTTTATTTATCTTAAAGTTTTACTACTATTCTTATAGCTAGCCTACACTAAGGCCCCTAGTGAACCTTACCTCCTATCATTCATTCTCTTGTGTCTAACCCTCCCACACTGAATCGTGGTTTAGCTGTATGATCAGTAGAGTATTATACAAATGAGAGTGTGCACCCTCTGAGTGTAGCCCATATAAAACGTGGGGTTTCCTCTTAACTGTCTCTTGGATCACTCACTCTGGATAAAGCCACTTGCCATGTTCTGATTAAGTAGCCCAATGGGTGGGTCCATGAGTCAAGGAACTGATGCCTTCTGCCAATAGCCAGTGCTAGCTTGCCAGCTCTTTGAGCCATCTTGGAAGCAGATACTCTAACCCCAACCCCAACCATGCCTTCCAGTGGTCACAACCCCAGCTGATATCTTGTCTGCTGCCTTGTGAGAGATCCTGAGTGAACCATTCAGCTAAGCCACTGCTCAATTGCTTATTTATTGCATATTTATTATTTTACATCAGAAGGTTTTGGTAGCCAGGTACAGTAATGTGTGCCTGTAGTCCCAGCTACTTAGGGAGGCTGAGATGGGAGGATCACTTGAGTCCATGAGTTCAAGCCCAATCTCAGCAACATAGTGAGACCTTGTCACTATAAAAACATAATAATAAGAAAATAAGTAAATCAGTAAGTTTTGGCATAATATGTTATGCAGCAATAGATAGCTAATGCACCTGCTAAATAAACACATTTTAAAACATTTTCTATTGATTACATAGTTTATAGTTATTTGTAAGTGTAGAAGAGGCTTCTGTTGTGACTTGTAGAATGGTTTTCATAGTAGATTGAGTAGTATGTTATACAAGGTGTTGATTCTGGAGCATTCATAACTGAATTTGAATTTTAGTTTCACCTGTACCCACTGTGTATTAAGGAAATTACTTAAAATTTCTGATCATTGGTTTTTACTGAAAATCTGTAAAATGGGAGAAATCTATTAACTCTCAGAAGGTCTTTTTTTAAAAGTCAAGAGGAAATGAGGTCATTTGATGTTTACTCTATAGCGTGATGCTTAATATAGTCCATCATTTCTATTTATTCACAAATTAACCCCTTTCCTGTAAAGATGCATTTCTTTGCCCTAGAAGCAAAGACTGCTGTGAGCATTTGTGTTTGTAGTTTCTAAATAGTATGTCCTTTCAGTATTATATTCTTCCATAGGCAGAGTACTTTTATGCAAGTCATTTTTATTTTGCCTAAGTATCTTTTTACTGTGATGCACCTTAGGTGTGACTTACTTCATATTTATTTCGTTTATTGGAGAACTTGAATCTGTGGGTTGATGTCTTATCCATTTTGAGAAATTCTCGGTTGTTACCTCTTTAAATGTTGCTCCTGTTCCTTTTTGTTTTTCCTTATCCTTCTGGGACTGTAATTAAAAGTATATTACACCTTTACACTGTGTTCTACAATGGGGGACCCAGAAAAACTCCAAATTTATTTATAAAAAATTATGTATTTATTCTTACATGTTTAAACTTTAGTCACCTTCAGAATACTTCCCGTTTGATGCAGTATGCCTATCAAGACACTTTTTCACCGTTCAAAACAGTTTTTGAACTTGTTAGTTTTGATGGCTTTTAGTGCTTCTGCCATTTTTTGTTTCACCTTGTCCATTTCAGCAAAATATTTTCCCTTTGAGGATTTTTTTCATCTGGGGAAACAAAAAAAAAGTCACTTGGGGTGAGATCGGGTGAATAGGAAGAGCGGGCCACAGGAGTTATGCAGTTTTGGAGTCCGAAACTGCTGAACACTCATGGAGGTGTGGAAAGGTACGTTGTCATGGTAGAAGAACCAGTTACCTGTTTGTCACAACTCAGAATGTTTCTTCTGCAAATCGTGACGCAACCTTGTTAAGACTTCCAGATAAAAACTTTTGTTGACCGGTTGATTCGAGTGTGCTATGAAGGGCCCACCTCTGAAACAAAAATCTGGGTTTTTTGGGTCCCACCTCATATATGTCTCATTCTTTTCTATAGTTTCCATTCATTTTCTTTTCTTGGCTTCCTTTGGATTTTTCTATTTTTTCTTTTATTTAACCTGCTGTCCATTTCACTAATCGTGTCTTCTGCTTTGCTAATCTTCCATTAAACCATCTATTGATTCCTTAATTTCAGTTACATTTTTAGTGTAAACATTTTCATTTGATTTTTTTTTTACAGATTTCCATTCTCTGTTGAAAATGTCTATCTTTTCTTTAGTTTTCTTTCTTCTTTTTTTTTTTTAAAAACATATAGTTATTTTAAAACCCTTTTCTTTTAACTCTCATATCTAGGTCACCCGTCCATTTGTTCTTATGTTCTTTTTTCAATCTTGATTTTTGGTCATTTGGTCCTGTGTTATGGCATACCTGTCAATTTTTTTCTTTTTTGAATCCTCAGTATTGTAAGTGAAAAATTGTAGAGGCCCCCAGTAGTTTTCTTTGTTCAAAGAAAAGTCACCCTTTCCTCCACTAGACATATGTTGGGAGTTACATACCTTACTCTAACTAGAAATTGAACTGAGTCAAAGCTATGTTGAAATATGGGTAAGTTTTTGTATTAAGACTGTGATATTCACGAGGACCCAAGTTTCTGTTGGCTCCTGAACTCTAATTCTTATTTTCTCAGCATATCAAGGTAGCTGAATTGCATATTTGAGGCTTTCTGTTTAGCTTCTTAACCTCATACCCTATGCAGCTTTAGAAATTGACAATTGACTTATGGGGAAAAGTGGCTATGTAACAAACTCACTTCTCTGCCTCTCTCCTCCACTGGGATCTTGGCCGCTCAAGTTTCAAATATTGTCCCTACAAGCACAAAAAGACGTGCTGCTTTCTCTAACTACCAGTGACCATCTTCCCAGGTAGACCTTGGGTTCTCAGCCTCTTGTCCTATACCCAGAATTGGTAATGCCTCCAGAAAGACGGTGGCTGTAGAATGTCAGCTCAGCTTTCTTTGGTTTCTCCACTACCCTGGAATCTTGGTACTTCTAGTTCAGGTTGCTGCAACAGCTCTTTGCTGCCTGGGACAGTTTTATATTTTATCAAGCCTTTCTAGTTACTCTGGGTGGAAGCACTTATATACTTCAGAGTACTCTAATATTAGCTGGAGGTTGAAGACTATATAACTATTGTTGAAGAAAATGTCAATGAGTAGATTATTTTTGTGAATTTCTATTTTGGCTAGCTTTATGCTATCATAGTTTTCAGTGTATGAACTTTTTTGTTTCTCATTAATTATTGATATAGTAAAATAAAATATTGTTTTGAATCGTAATAATTTTTACAACTATTCTTGATTTTTGAATTCATGGCTGTTATAGTCAATATTGATTACTAACTTTATTCTATAACTACGAGGATTAAGAGTATTTTATGAAGCTGTACCAAACGAGAAGGTTGAACATATAAAGTTAGTGACAATACAAAAAAAAAAAACAGTAAGTATGTGTACTCCTGTTTTCAGCTTTTGAATTTATTTTACCAATGAAGTTGTAGCAGTTGATATACCTCGTTGGTAAAATGAAACACGAAAATCTTAACCTTTAGCTATATTGTAGTTATTGGCAGTCGTTGAGAGAACCATCTCTGGTTCTACCTTAAGAACTGTGCCTTGAGTCTTTCAAAACAAATCTATGATGTCTGTCATTTTTCTGTTTTTTGTGCAGGAAGAAGAGAGTGAGGAGGAGCCCAAACTGAAGTATGAAAGGCTTTCCAATGGAGTAACTGAAATTCTTCAGAAGGATGCTGCTAGCTGCATGACAGTCCATGACAAGGTAAGTTAATCCTTTCAGAGGATTCTTCTGTAAGTTGTTTCTATTAAGTTTGTTTGTACTTTGGAGTCCTGATGCTTTTGATGGTGGTTTTCTACAGTGATTGTATCTCCATGCCACTGCTCCTCTCTTCTTTCTTGCCAACAAAAAACAAAACAATAGCCCAACGTACTTTAAATATGTATGCACACCCACTCACATGCATACAACAAACTCCAAGGGTGTATTATGTAGAATTTAGACAGTGAGCGATGAGAAAGATTTACATGAAATGTTTTTTAGAAACTGTCACTTAATTTCTGAAATCATAAGTTTTAAATTAGGAACATGTTAAGATTAGAAATAGTGTGAAAGTGCTTTTATAAGCGTAGAGGAGATTAATATTACAGGTGTTAGAAATCAGTAGAAATGCCCCAGATTGTAACTTGTATTTTATGTTAATTAATTGATAGTTTCTTCTAGGTCCTTGCTATAACAAATCTCCCACCAACTTTCCGAGTCCAAGCTAAGTACTGGATAGCACCCTTGGCTTATCCTTTGACCCAAACAATGTGTCGTAGTTGGAATATTGGAGGCCAGGGAGTTTCAGCCCATTGCTCTCTTCTTCCCTATGAGCCTGTGAGAGAGTCTTAGTCCTTCCGCAAAAGGCAAATTCCCTACCTCTGGTCCTTCTGACTTTATCCTGAGTTACCGGCAGTGGCCTCATCTTGCCTCTTGCCTCCCACCTAGTTCTTTTTTTACTTCAGATTTCAATCCGTTGTATATAGATTCCTGTACTCGTTCAACACTTGAATAGAATGTTTAACTACTCTCTTGTTTTGCCAGAAACATGCTCCTTTAGGTGCCTACTATTTGGCTGCCTTGCCTTTGACCCCTCCTCATGGATCCAGTCTCCCAGCTTCCCATTCCTTTCCTTCACTCATTGGAGACCACCTCGCAGTTCTTCCACCCAGCTCAATTCCAGTGACCTTCACCTCTTCCCTGCTTCCTTTTCCTACCCATAAGACCATACCCTGGAGAGTGTCAGCACCTGGAGCTGAAGGATCTCTAACCTTCATGATACTCTCTGTTGACTCCTTTTATCCTTTAGATTTTTGTGTTCATTGTCCCACAAAACTTGTTTTGTGATTTCATGGAATCCTGATCTCTAATCCACTTTCTCTTTTTTTTTTCTGTGTCTATGAAATGAGTAATTATCCTTACCAGCATTCTACATTCTCTTACATCCCTGTGTTTCCATTGTGCCCCTCAGCCTTACTCTCAACTCTGAATTAGTGCTCCCATGACCAAGGCAGCCATGTGCTGGTACAGACTCCCATACCCAGGTAAATTTGTCACTAAAAATTGACATTTATTTGTCCTTCATCAGCTCCTTTAGTCCTCAAATCCCCTTCTCAACCGCTGTCCCTTCTATATTAGAAGGCGATGTCACTTCTGTTTAAGAAGATGAAACCGTCACGTATGGTCAGCCTCAACTCCTAACTCCTTTTGCACACTCATCCTTACCCATAGGATATTTTTTTCCACCTGTTCAAGGATCTTTTTTGTCTGCTTTTGTTCTTTACTTCATCTTATTTCCTCCCTTCTATCCTGGATATACATATCATGTCATAGCCCTAGGTAATCAGTAATCTACTTGTATCTTACTAGATTTGCCTGTTTTGCATATTTCATATAAATGCAGTTATATAGTATTTGATGTCTTATATCTGACTTCTTTTGTTTAGTTTAATGATTTTGAAGTTCATCCATGATGCAGCACCTGTTAGTACTTCATTCCTTTTTATTACTGAATAATATTCTGTTGTATGGATATACCACATTTTGTTGTTCATTCAACAGTTGGTGGACATTTTGCTGATTTTAAGTTGTGGATCTCACCTCTCTTCTCAAAACTTCTTTATCAAGCTACCATCTTCTTACTGTTTTCTTGATGATTTCTAACATTCCCTTCTGTTTCTTTCACTTTCCTTTACTTCTACTTTTTCATTATGTATTGGTTTTCCCAGGATTTGGTTCATCATCCACATTTCTTAATTTGTACTTTTGGTTTTAAATTTTGTGATTTCTGTGATCAGCTACACACTGCTTTTTTTTGTTTTTTTTTGAGTTGGAGTCTCACTCTGTCGCCCAGACTGGAGTGCAGTGGCCCCTCC